TTAAAAGCACTATATAAATAAAGGTGACTTGACTTGACTTGACTGCCACGATGCTTGAGTGATTGTTCATGAGCTGATTTCTGAATATTTAAATCTGAACCAAAAACAATGGATAAATGATAAACTATCTTACCCTTTTTAACGCTGAGGGTCACTTTAGTGGTGACGTGAGCTCCACACCAGTATATCCCAGAATCCTCTTCTCTCAGATCAGTGATGTTCACAGTAAAGACTCCAGCAGATGCTTCATCACTGAAAGAGAATCGATCATCTCTGATCGTCTCCAATGAAACTCCATCCTTCACACACATGGAGGCTTCATGTGCTTTGCAGAAGCTTTTCTGATCTGCATCCTGATGTTTGCACTGGATTGACACGTCGTCTCCTTCATACTTAGTCAAGTTCAGCTCTGGAAATGATTACAGACACAAGAAGATCACTTCACAGCCGGAGTTTGACATATTCAGATGAATAAACCTTCCTCACCCTCGTTCATGATGACCATCAGATGAGTGTGAAGATAACTGAGCTCTGTTTCTAATGTCACTGCACACCAGTATTTCCCAGCATCCTCTGCTGTCAGTGCAGTGATGCTCCCAGTGAAGACACGTGCAGTGACGTTATCTTTCAGAGTCAATCTGTCAGTCTTGCTCTCTTTCTCTTCTCTCACAGTCTCACTGAGAGTATTTCTGTCTCTAGTGGAGCACTTCCCCTTACAGAGAGACTTTGGCTTTGATTTATAGATTGAATCATAAGGGCAGAAGATCTCAGCAGATTCTCCTTCACGTCTCACTACTGGTGCCACTGAAAACAAACAGGCATTTAACACACATGATTCTGAACAGACTGTATTTACTACAGTGAAATCATCTGAATGGACTCACTGATGAGGTTGAGCTGAATTTTAGTGTTCAGGGAGATGAAAGTCAGATATGTGTCTCTGGTTTCTGCTCCACACCAGTAAACTCCAGCATCTCTCACACTCACATTACTGATGCTCACTCTAACAACTCTCTCTTCATTTCTCTCAGATGAACCACTCATTTGTGTCACTTCAGATGAGCTGATGTTCTGGCAGATGTGATTATCTTCCTCTTTGCAGAAATGAACTTTATATTCCTCTGGGATCTGACAGGTGATGTTGACTTCACCAAGATAAGCAGATTTAGTCACATCCACTGGATACTTTGCATCTACAAAACCAAAACAAGTTAACATACAGACAAGAAAAATTACTTTATATACACAAGATAAATTATTTGCGGTTCCTCACCGTGTTTGACGCTCAGCTGAAGTTCAGTGAAGCTCTCAGTATAGTCAGATACTTTCACTCCACATCTGTATGTTCCTGCATCTGCAGCTTTCAGCTCTCTAAAAAACACCATCAAGACTCCTGCTCTGGTGTCGTCATATAAAGAAACATCTCCATTCTCCATCCATTTATTCAAAGTGTTATTCCGTGAAATTTGTTGCTTTGGTGTCTCTAAGAAATAATCAAACATAAATTTAATATAATAACAAATAAATGTGTAATTTAAAAGCATAACAATGTTATGCATGGTTTCATCAATATTACATACAAATGTCAATTAAATATTATTTTAAATAATTTAAATAGCATTTATGCTGGTAACGGTAAGGTTTTTGGCCTGTCCCTCACTATGATTTTTTCTTTTTCAGCAGGACTTTTAATTTGCAAAATGAAGGCAAAATATATAAAAATCACATTTGCATATTGTTCTAAATAAATATAGTCTCATTGTTAAGTAGTATTTTTGGCATAAGTATGTAGCGGATCAGCTCATGGGGAAATATGAATAATTAACCATAACTAGTTATAATTAACTATTCATATTTTAGATCCACTGTAGATATTTAGCTGACCACTCAGGGTCAACCGTCTTGTCAATTCTAAGAACGTTAATTTCCTGGTTAAAGGAAACTCCTCTATGATGTTCTATTTTTGATGATTTATGAGGCTTGACTGAGGGGGGCTATCATGCAATGTCAATCCTGCAGAGACGGACAACAGTGAAGTATTTTTAATTTACTCAAGTCAATTTAAAAAGTATCTGTAGTTTATCAGTGTGTTTCTTTGGAAAACTTTGCTTCACTACATTCCAAAGCATAATGTCATATTTTTTACTGCACTTCATTTTATAAATGAAAGTTGTTGTTTGTTTTACCTTTAATACATAAGAACATTAAAAATGTAGTACTTTCTTGTACTCAAGTAAATCT